TGCAATCTGAACATTTTCCAACTTCAAAGGAGAAATTATTATTTAACTAAGTAATCTGAAGAACTGCAACCTTAATTCACACACAGTATTTAAGATTCCACTATTTCATAAAATGTCCAAGAGATGTTCTAGAAGCAAAAATTATCAGAAGGAAGGAAAAGAGGATCTTGTGAATGTCATCCCACATTGTTTTAGGATTCTGTACACCAGAAGCAACTTCCTCTCCACCTTTTCCATCTCTTTATTAGCACTCTTTCTCTCTGAGTCAAATATTTTTTAAACATAATCTGTTTGAATGTTAGGGATAATTGCTTAGGAACTAACCAAGTGAGCAAACAGAGAATATGTTGGTAATGCCCACATAGTTGCTCACCAACAGATAACCAGAAGAATATTGGGAATGATAAAAATGATAAATTTGTACTACATTAACACCATATTTTGCAGTGAAAAGTGATTTATTAGAAGTATTTAATTTTACATCTCCCAACAGCTCACAGGGAATGGCAATACGCTGCCAACGTACTGAACATTGTGGTTGCTTTATAGGTGAAAAGAATTTCATTATTAGTGATCAAGATGGCCTGTTATTAATACCTAAAAATTAAAGGCCTACATTTTGAGATTTGCTTTATCTGAAGTATGAGATGCAAAGTGTATTAATGAACCTAACAAATGGGCTATCAGGTCTGTAGGTCTTGAAAGCTTTCTTTTTCCAGATTTATAACACAAGTTAAAGTTCTCTCTATGCTTCTTTTCTGCTCTACCTCTAATATATTTAGATTAAATCCTATCAGCTACTAACATGGACAAAAATATGAGGCAAAGAAACACACATAAAGAATATTGATAGTCAGTGTAGTCATCAACATATATCTTCTTGACAGAAGCAAGGAAAACAACATTGTTAGGAGTTAATTATAGCACATTCAAGTGAGATGGTGAGACAGGTCACTGGGGGAAGGTGATGCAAACTGCAAACACACCTTTTACTCTGCTGGTAACTTAGTCCATTGAACTGTTTTCCTATTCACTGCTCACAACTCTCTGCCATCGTGTGGAAAACACGACCAAATGTTCAGCATGGCCGCCACAAACTTGATTTAACATTTATACATTGATAAGAAGAAACACAACATTTTAGCAGTGGATGGACTCTACAGAAGATTCATTACTTTGTTAGACCATAAGCATTTCTTATTCAGTGCCTGAAGTGCAGATCGAAATCCATTACAGATAATGATTGCACTCACCTTACAAACAAAATACTGCCTTTAAATAGAAATGCTTGCTGCCTGTGCAAAACCAGCAAAATCACTTACCTGGGATATTTGTAGAACAATAATTTAGTAATAATTTCAATGCATCCACTAGAAACAAAACAAACACAAAACCCCCTGACGCTAACGGACAGAAGATTTTGTGAACAGCACCAAGAAGTCCTGAATATTTTTAGGATCCTGTAGTCTAAGAAGGTAAAAAAACTGTATGTGCAGATTTTCTCAGTGCCCACGAGGTACTGGTCTTAAAATGTATATTAAGATATACATTTTAAGGTTCAAAACATGTAATATTACCATTCTGTTATTTGGGGAGCGCTATAATGGCAGCTACAGAACAGAAGTTGTCAAAAAACCAGTTCAATTCAACATTCTTAAAGCAAATTCAATTTTAACACAGGAGAGACCCTTCAAACCCTGACCCGAATAAACAAGGGTACTCTTCAAATTCTCTTCAAATAAAGCCTTTATTTTCCTTCTTCCATTCCAGTGACACCGGACTTTGCAAGGCAGAACGGCACACCGCAAACTTATTTTTCAATCTTGCACTCTGTGAGAGTGGTTCTGATCCATTGCTGTGAAGAACAGGCAGACAGCAGCTGTGATGAACACATGCACTCCCTCATACAGCAGTTTTGGAGAGAAGACACTCCATATGAACAGGTGGTACCGCAGACCCGTCACCAAAACAACGTAGATGGCAACTGGAATTGAGCGCAATAGAGCGTAGCAGAAACAGCCGTGACCCACTGCTGCTGAATTCCTGGTAACAAAAACAGAGGAGTTTATTCTCAGGCAAACTTAGTAAAGACATTGGAGTTCCTCCACTCTTGAGCAGTATTTTGCAACGCAAGGAATACTCACAGATCTCCATTTCTTGTTAGAAAGCTGATTATTGATGCAATTATGTAACCAAAAAACCTTGTTCTTATCACCTCTATATGTGCTATAATGTGTAAGTATGTGAGGTGTAAGCATAGCAACTGTCATTGCAACAAAGGTACCCAGTAGTTCACCTCACACTTAAATGGTTCTGTGCTTTAATATATTTTGTTCTAACTGTTAAAGTCTCCATTAGGCAGTTTCAAGATAGCTTTGTCTCCTGTTGGCCTTCCAGTGCCTTTCCACAGAATTTGAATGTTAAGAGGAAGAGAATAGACTTCAGTTCTCTTCACAAAGCTTCCTAACCTGTTCAGTGGATCACCAGATGGAGTCTGTGCCCCTTGTAAAGAGCACAAGACTTGCCAGAGTACACTGCTGCCCATAGCCAGTAACACTCTTCAAAACAACATAAAAATTGTGCTACTGGAAAGCTTTGCAAAGCTAGCTAACATAACATTCTCCAGGGAACACCATATTCTTAGGCTTGCAGGAGCAATACACGGCATTCCTGTCACAGTAGCTTCTGCTCAGCTGGGTCTGCTGTATCGCAGGAAATGTCTGCCCCATGTGTAACCTACATGGTCCAAATCTGCCACGTTGATGTGGGTGGGTGACAAGAGTCAGATGAAAATGGAAGTGAAAGGGTTTTATGCACTTTGATTGTTCCCCCTCTCCTGAAGTGTCAACTCAAAGCAGCGATGCTGAGTTGGTGCCTGCCCAATTTCCCCAGACCACATCTGCAGAGGCTAATTCAGACCAAATTCAGATGTTTACCTGTTCAGACAAAAGGAAGGAATAAAGCTATTTTGCTGGAATAATAAGAACATTTTCCTCTCCCTATCAAAACATTTTACATCATCAGTTCCGAAAAGAACTCACTGGTAAAATGCAGAAGTGTTTCACACTGAGGTCCTGATCTGAGAATCTGTTCTGCTCCTCCCAGTTTTTAATCCTGATCTTGTTCCAAGTAATGAAAATTTAACATGACTAGCACTTCTGTGAGATGCAAATTAGTCACTTATGACTAAGTAAGCTACAGAATGCAGTATTTTACATAAACCATTAAATTTCTTATTCTTTAAATAAAAATAAGTAGGATACAGCCCTGTTTTCCAGTGAAGTCAAGATTTAAATTCCCAAGGCTTTCAGTGGAAGGAAGAACAGGTCATGTTGAAAGCAGAGTTGAAAAACCAACTAAGAACAGCAGGCATGAATGACTGCAAAACATACATTTAGTTCACAGAAAAGTATTTCCCTTGCTGTTTAGCCAAGGAAACTGTGACTTGGGAGTGAACTAGGCTGTTTCCCACTTCTGTATAACTATTTTAGTCTTTAGTGGGTTTGTGTAAATAACCAGCTTTACGTTTAATAACCAATTTTGTTGACAACGATTTAACAACCTGCAGTTCACTCACTCTTAGCTATTTTCACACTGAGTAAAAACAGTATTTGTAGTAAAAAAAAGCAGTTGTTGAACGACACAACGGAATAGACATAGGAAATGGCTTTTGAGTCAGAAAGGGCAAACAGCTAATTTTTAAACCACTTTCTAGAGTCAAAAAATGCACCTCACAGACCATCTAGATGAAGGCTATCAGTGGTTGTGGCTATGACATTTATTAAGCTCAGTGATGGGATTTTAAAGGGAGTACTAAAAGCAAGAAGTGAGTGTCTATGGACTTACATATCCAGGTCTTTCAAAAGCCCTGTATTTCAAAATTAAATTACAGTTCATATATTTTTCTCTAGTTTGTGCTCACCTAACAACACATTTAGTGCATTACAGTGCACTAAATGTGCACCTAATAATAAATCAATGGTGTTAAAATTTTTTTAAATGGCTATTTTTTAACTATAAAGAAACTGTCCAGAAGCTTATTTTGAATTGAATCTCTATTTGTTCATTTCTTTGGCTCAAAAATTAGGTAAACATATTTCATTTTACACTGAAATTAGAGCACACAGGGATCTTTACTAGTAACACTTGAATTTTGCATTTTCATATTCTGATTACTGACAAAGAATCCCCAAGTCAATGTTACAATTCTTCCTGCATTCTGATATCAACAAAATGATGGACTGTTTTTTGCTTATATAATAGCTTTACTTCCAAAAGGTCTCAGTACTCACTTCACCTCTCAAAAAAACATAGACAGCCACCTCCAGAGGAAAATCCTGGCCAGTTTCACAGTATAGTGCAGTGGTGCAATTTAGAGAAGGCAACAAAAGCACACTGTATCCACAAAGTTAAACTGTCAGTGGGGTTCAATAGCAGAATAACTGGGTTTATTTTGGAACTGGTGAAAGGGTTCACACGTGTGTTGTTAAGGAAATATCATTGGAATGACTGAGCACAAGCCAGTTAGGCCAACTTGGCTGTTCTGATGTTACAGTAACAACTTACTTCTTCAAGCACATCACCATCCTTTATTCTTGCTTCAGTCAGGGACAAAATCTGCTGAACAGCTAAGAGTAATGACTTTGTGCACTCCTTCTGCTCATTCTAGACACACAGTGACCAGGCTACAGGAAGGCAGCAGCCAGGGAACAGGCTGCTTTTGATAACATCACCATGACAATACAGCTAGTTCAGCTGTTTCCCGAGTGATTCTGAAAGAAGTCACCAGTAGAACACAGAAAGATGGCTGTGGCATGCCACTCATGTATCCTACTGTTTATGATCTGGATCAGCCAGTAATGAATAACCTTGCAACATCTCACTGCTGTTGCAGTAAAAATAATGGAAGACCACAGGACAAATCTAAGACATCAATCTGTAAATACTCCATACCAAACTGTCTCTTCAACAATTAATGCCTTTCTTCATTTAAAGGAGAAGAGCATAGAGAGACTGGACACACTACCTCCACGTTCTGACAAAACCAGCCCAATACTAAGGCCTCTGCACAAAGAAGCAGTAAAAAAAAGGAATAGTCAGTCTAATATTGAGCTCATTTAGCAAGTTCACTTATGAGGACTTGAATAAGAAATCCAAGTGTTAAAGATGACAAAGCATATCCAAACTTCATGCAAGATCCAGAAAAAAAGCAATGACTTTGGACGCTTCTGAAGCAAAGAACACTACAGATTCACATCACTAGACATGCCATATTTAGACTGAAAGCATTAAGTATGGTCTAGAGCACATATTGTCTTTCAACAAAAATCATCTCTTTTAATTGAATCTTAAATACATAGAAAAATATGGCCAAGAAATTGTGCTATTAATAGGTTTTCTGCTTCTTTGGATATCCGAAATCCTGATTGCCAATGTTTTGTCAACAAATCTTTCACCTCTCAATCTGTCTCTAAGGTGCCATTAAAATGGGTAAATACAAGGCTTGCAAAATGAAAAAATTATGGTGCCAAAAAAAAAAAAAGAAAGAAAAATAACTCTTTTCTTGTGAAAATATATCTCCCAGTTATATAGAATACATGGCAGATGGTGGCAACAAATTTTGTAGTTTAAAAATCAAGCAAAAAGCTCCACAAACAGCCCTAGAAAAGCATCCACAAAGAATTTTAAAATACACTGCTTTACAAGGGTTCCCACCCTTGTTCCAACCCACCAAATCAAACAAACATTTTAGAAACATGCAAACATATGACTGAGGAATACCCTAGTATTGCAATTTTTCTAGAGTTGGAGGAGGAGGGTTGTTTCTGGAGCATTTCAGCTGAATATTACTGCCTAGATAATCTCTTATTACTGAATTTGCCTATTTTAAGGCAATTTTTACTGTATTAACATTTTTCCTGTATTAAGTGGCACTTTTCTTTTCAGGCATTCTGCAGTTTCAGTTTGCAAGATGTCCCTTTTTAGTGCTCTCTGAAAAATAGTTGGCGTTTTGTTAATTTGTGCTGTATATACTAATAAAGGGTTGGAGTCAGAAACAAACCCTCCAAGTGCCTGCACCATCTTAAGAGTATCTGCAATCTGTATGAAATTTCTCTTATCTAAGTGAATATCAATCAGTTTATCAGCAAGAACAAATTTGCTACATCTCTCCCACATGTCCCACTCTCACCCATTGTAATTCTTACAAGGTCTTTTTAGACTACAGCACAGAATCCTGCATTGTCAGGAAAAACACAGTTCCAAAGGAACCTGGAGTCCTTTGGAGATTTACATGATCAGCTCTGGCACAGAGCATCAATCAGAACAATGTTAATTCTATAAAGTCACAATTTTTGTCGCCAAACACCATCAATGGACAGATGTAAAAAAGGGTGGTTGCCAGCAAGCTAAAAGGGCTATCAGGTATATTCTATTAGAAATGGAAATTATGGAACCTGGGGATGATTATTGATTTTCCTGTGCATTCTCTTTCCAAGTAAGAAAGGCAGACAAGCTACTACTGCCTGAGCAAGGTCAAGTGTCTGTGGCAGTAAGTTAGAGGGGACTATAGCATATGTGGACTGCAATACAGGGTACAGGGTTCAGCAGGTTCTCATAATGATTTAGCTGTAAAAATCTATTATGACCTGAAGCTTCACTTCTCTTCATTTCAGAACAGGAAAAATGGAATCATATCAACGTTTTTTCCTGTTTTCACTGCTGGCATAATCAGATGTGCTGTGAATGTCCTGTCTGCAAAATAAGCAGTCTCACTCACACAGAACAGCTGACTCTTCCCAATGGCACCCACTGCTAGCTAACCTGCTTAGAACAGAACTCTATCTAAAACGCAGGGCATGTATCAATTACGTTTCAGATTCCTTTCTCTCATATTTAGTCAGGGTTGGCCACTGAAAATCATTCTGAATGAACTCCCCTAAATTGCATACCTATCAAAGATTTATATTAGACTGTAAGTAGAAATCCAATTACGCTGGCATTGGGCTGGAAGGTCTGAACAGCCACTCTGAATGTCTGCTATCATCATTTAATAGCTCAGGTAAGAAATCAACTGTACATTTAGTAAATGCTTCTAAAACTCCTGGAAATGTGCTCATTTCTCCAAATACTGATCCTGTGGCAATCACCTTTAAAAGTACTGGAAACTCTCTGCTTTTCAGCTTTACTTGATTGGTCTTCACCTTCCTTTAGAGAAATGAGAAAACAGTTCACAAGCTCAAACATCTTGAGTCTTTTTCAGGACTGCAGACAAAGAAATAACTAAACTGCACTCTAGGCAACATGGCCATGCAATCTCTAGATTTCTTCATAAGAAGCTACTCTTTTTCAGTAGGTACTTTTGATTCAGGAAACTAGTTTTCTCCATGTAAGCTATGATTGTTATTTCTGATTTCCAGCCACTCTTCAAACACAGGATTTGCATGAAATCCCAAGTGCTATGCTTGATATGTTTTTCCTCACTACTTCTCTGGTGACCCATGCTGGTATATATGCAGTGACTGTTCCTGCCTGTTATCATGGTTCCAAGAATTCCCCAAAGTTTCTCTTCAGGTTATCCTTAGCATGTGTTATTCTGTTCAGATCCAAGAAAAAAAGAAGCAGAATCAGTCTATTCCTGTTGACACCAGCCCGGAATTTAATGCAACAAGATATAACTAAATCATCAAAATTCCTAACAAGCAAAACACAAATAGTAAGTATTTCAAATCATAGTTATTCCTATTTTCTGCAATATTCTTCCAAAATTCAGTTAACATTTCGGAAGGCTTCCAGTAGAAAAAAACCTGAACCACTTTACATTGGCATCATACATGCAAGGAGTAACAATGACATTTATAGCTCAATTTTCTGTTAAGTTGCATCTGCGGGCTCCTTGCCCATCTTTGTAAACAGTTGTTCTTCATCATCTTAGCCAAAGGTGTAAAGAAAAATTGCATCTGGCAATTGTTCTTGACAGGCAGGGTCTGAACAAATTTAACACAGACTGTTATCAAGTCTTTCAATTAATTTCAAAATTTATCAGTTTAAAATACACCAGTCTAACAGGACATGTCAACAGTGATACAAGGCATTTCTAGAAAGGTGAAGCACAAATTATTCAAGTATGGACAGGAAATTGGCCAACAATGCCACAGTGGGTGGTGATCTATATTTTTTTACTCAGGCTGGCAGCCAGTAACAAGTAGGGTCCCCCAGTGATTGATACTGAGCCCCAAAATGTTCAACATTTTCATAAATGATCTAGATGGTAGGATGATTGAAAGCACCCTCACCAACGTGCTGATGACACTAAACTGGATGGTGAGGTGGACACGTCAGAAGGGAGATATCTGAACAGGCTGGAGGAGGCTATCAAGACCTGCATGAAGTTTAGCAAAGACAAGTGCAAAGTTCTGCACCCAGCTCAGGATAACCAAAGAGCCCAGAACAGGCTAGGTTACATGCGGCTGAGGAACAGTGTTGCTGAAAGGGAGCTGGGGGTGTCAGTCAACAAGTCAAAAATGAATCAGCAGAGCACTACTGCAGCAACACGTGAATCAGTCTGGGCTGCATTTTCAGGGGCATTACGAGCAGGGACAGATGTGATCATCCCACTCGGGGCTTGTCAGGCCATACCTGACAAGTATGTTCATTGTACAATGTTCAGTTTTGGCCCCCACCACTCCGAAAAGACATAGACAGACTGGAAAGGGTGTGAAGGAGGACTGGAGAGGATCAAAGGGCTCTGCAAGGTAAGACTGTAGGAGTTAGGTTTCTTCTCCACGGAGAAGGCTCAAGGAGACTTTGTCACAGCATTCCAGTATTGAAGTATGTAAATGTGGCTACAAAGAGGATGGAGGTGCTCTCTTCACCAGGTAGTATGTGGAGAAGACGAGAGGCAATGAGTACAAGTTGCACCAGCAGAGGTTTCATCTCATTATAAGCAACACATGTTTTATGGTGACAACAATCAGTCATGGAAACAATCTTTCCCGGGATGTGGTAGCATCCCCATCACTGCAGATTTTCAACATGAGAGTGGAGAGGATGCTAGATGATCTCATGGAGGCTCTCCCTTTCCCATGAAAGGTTGAACCAGATGATCTTTTGCAGGTGTTTTCAATCTGGGTTGTTCCATTATTCTGTGAAGCAATGCTCACTCTTCTGCACTGAGGGCAGAGTCAATTCTTTCTTCTATTTTTCCGTTACATTAACTATTTTTAAACTTGTGACAACTAAAATAACAGCTCTCTCCTCAAATTACTCCCGCCACTGCAAAACCACAAACACTCAAGAAGAATTTGTGAACTTCAAGAAAAGGTGTGAGAAAAGGAGACAGAAAAATCCTAGATAAACGCAGAAGGACAGTACCTCATGTACAGTCCTATCCACAGCTACCAGAACCAAGGATTCAGTTACTCAGAACTGAGGAGTGTGGAACACAAATGGCGAAAAAGTACAAAATCTGTAAGAACAAGGCCATTAACAGCAAAAAGTACAGGTTACATCCAGAAACATGTCTTCAATGAAGAAGGACAGAAGCAAAAGTCTACAAATATGGTCCTCCTTCTGGAACTGTTCCTCTGAATGGCTCTGCATCTGTTTAAATACCAGCGTAAACCACCAAGAGACCAGCATCAACAAGCAGTTCTTACGAATTTAAGAGAAGAAATAAAGCTGGTACTATGCTCCAATCCATTTCAGAATTAAAATGAAGGAATATCCAAAGTACTGAAGAGTAAGGGGGGACAATTTCTTCATTGCACTGTGTATAATTCATGCATTGTATCAGAATACTGCCCTCAACTTTCTTCATAACTTTTTCTGGCACAATGGACGGAGACTCTTTATTCCTTGTGGTGCAATGAGAGGTCTTCTGGGATTACACAGGGATACTCTTACTAAGCCCAAGTATCATACACACTTTTTACTTTGGCAAATTTAAAGGAGTGTTGGATTTACAAATAATTTACACTAAGCTGAATTATTAAAAAGAACAATACTCATCATTAGCATAAAGACTGTGGAGCTCCACACACTTTCTCTTGGGAAAAAAAAAAGGATTACAGTAGGTTCTGTAAACCCATACCCTAGGATGTCTGCAAATGAGGAGACAATGCTAATACTGTGAAGCATAAAAGGAACAATAAACAAAAATGGTTTAATCTTGGCAAGAAATGAAGTGCAAGATCAATTTGATTTTTGAGGAAGATACCTTGATATAGTAGCTGCAGACCCTCTTTCTCACTGGACTCAAGCCGAGAAGGCAGACAAATCAGCACAGGATTTTTCATGCCATAGCTTTTGTGATACTTTAATGGTAATCTTGGCTCTGACACAGAAAATGTAAAGCAAACAGACAGGACACAACTTTCAGAAGATTGCAGATGTTAACTTTGCAGTTTGAGTATGTTCAGTAGGGCCAAGAAACTTAAAAGACAGCTCTGAGGAAAATGTGGACATCCCCTGTTAGAGAGAGGGAGAGAAAGGAGACAGAAAGAATGAGGGCAATAGCAAGGAAAGGGGAGAGCCTGAGAGCAAAAAGGGGAGAGAGGGGGGAGCAGAGACAGAAGAGTGCAGGAGGGGGAGAGCAAGGGAGAGAGGAAGCAGAATGAGAGGAAGAGAATAATCAGAAAATGAAAGGAGTGTGAGTGAGGAGAGAGGGGTACAGGGAACAACCACGGTGAAAGAGGGGAGAGAGAGGACACAGGCAGGAAGAGAGGGAATGCAGGAGAAAGAGGGAGAGGTGGATCCAGATGGAGGTACACAGAGAGAGAAAGAGAGGACATGGGGAGAAGTAAAGAAAAAGGGAGAGGCAAGAGGAGAGAGACAGAGAGTAAGGGAGAATGAGTAGAGGTAAGAGGAAATAAAAGAAGGGTGGAAACCCAGAAAAGAAGGCTAAGGGGGAAGAAGCATACACAGGGCAAAGAGCGAGGAGGGCAGGAAAGAGATAAAAGTTTGGGGGCTTTATGCAGAAAGAGAGTGTGAAAGCTAAGTACCGAAAAGAGGAGACAGAGAGAAGGGTGTGGGGTGAAAAAACAGGGGAAAGGGTAAGAGAGTGACAGGAAAGGGAAAAGACAGAAGGAGATGGTGGGGAGAGAGCAATGGAAAAAAAACCTTCAAAGAGACTGAGAGAAAAAAAAGGAGAGGGATAAAGAGAGACTGACAAAGAAAGTGAGGAAAAGGGAAATGGGAAAAAGAAGGGTGAGATAAGAAATAGGGAGAAGAAGGTGGAAGACAGAAAGGAAGACAGAAAGACAATGAGGATAGAGAAAGAGGGACAGAGAGGAGAGAGAATGGGAAGAGAATGGGGAAAATAAATTTGACAGAGAAAGGCAGAAGAGAGGGGGAGATAAAGCAATAAAATGAGAGAATGAGGACAGGAAGAAGACAGAAAGAGGACTAGTAATAAGGAAAGATAAATGGAAAGAGAGGGAACAGGATCAGAGTGAGAGAGACAAGGAGGAGGAGAAAGAAACAAGGGGGGAAAGAAAGAGTGAGAAAAGGAGTGGAAAGGAGAGTAATACAAACGTGGAAAGAGACCATGCATGAAGGAAACTGCATGTGCAATGGAAATAAGAGAAGCAAAGTAGAGAAACTGGGCAAGTGAGAGGGAGGGGCAAGAAGGTTGGAGGGAGAAAGTGAAGAATACAGAAGAACAAAGGTTGGCATGAGAGGGAGATGAGGTGAAGACAGGCTGAGAAAGAAGGGAGCACAGAGTAAGAGGAAAGAGGGAGAGATAGGAAGGCAGAGAGAGAGGCATGGAAGAGAATGGATGGTAGTGCTGTGGGTGGTGTGACACTGGGAGAGACGAGGAGTGAGTAGAGGGGGTGTGAGAGAGATGAGGGGACCAAGGGGAAAGGAGGAGTGAAAATGGGAATGAAAAAAAGGACAGTAAGGAAGAAGATACAAAGGTGGAGTGGGACAGCAACAGCAGAAAGAAAGGACAAGTAAGACAAAAAGATATGCAAAGAAAAGAGGGTGACAGAGTGACAGAGACTTGGAAAGGAGCATGTGGGATAGACAGAGTGAGGGAGAGGCAAAGAAATATAAATAGAAGCAGGGCAAAGAAAGCAGAGTGTGACTGAGACAGAAAAAAGAGTAGACAGAAAAGAGTGAGCAAGGAATAAAATGAGTCAGGCAGAGGGAAAGGAAAGCAAAGGTAAGACAGTAAGCAAGAAGGAAAGAAGAGTGAGAGGGAAAGGGCAAAGCATAGGCAGAGATTGACAGGGAGTGAACAAGAGAGAAGGATGCAGAAGCAATGAGGTAGCGGGTAAGACAGTGAGGATGACATGATGTAAAGAAGGAAAATTGCACAAGGCAGACACAAAGAAAGCCCAGGACAGAAAGAAACAGCATGCAAGAGAAAATGTGCACAGGAGAGAAGGAAAGCCCTCACATGCAAGAAAGAGGGAACGAACATGACAGAAAGAAGAAAGGGCACAACAGAGAGGGAGCACAAGATAAAAGAGGAAAATTACATGTGAGAGAAAGGGACAGTGTGCACGCATGAGAGAGAAGCACCCAAAATTAAGGGAAAGAATACACAAGAGAGCAGAACCTACACAAAATCTATAAATAAAGCGGACAGATAACAAAAGTGTTAAAGACAGAGAATGTGTGAGAGGCAGAACAAGAATGCAAAACAAAGGGTGTACAGGAGGTAAACATGAGACACAGAGAAAGCCTGACAAGAGAAAGTGTATAACATAAGGGAAAGTGTTAATAAAAGAAAGTGCAAGGCAGACAAAGAAAAAGTGAGAAAAACACATGTAAGATACATGAAGTGCAGGGGAAAGTGAAGACCGAGCAGGAAAACAGGCAAAGGAAAAAGGGGGGGCATGAAGAGACAGCAATTGTGGTAAGGCATGTGACAGAGAAAGGAAAATGTGCCTAAGGGAAAGAAATCAAGAAAGAAAAAGCAGAAAAGTGCATCAATGAGAGAGGGATGGTGAAAGAGAGAGAGGTTATGTACTGTGTGCCAGAAAGGAAGAGAAAGCTCATGCATTAAAGGAAGAGTGAATGACAGAGAAGTGGTTAGAAGAGAAAGGGGAGGAAAGAGAAATCAAGAAATTATTGAAGAATGTGAAGTGTGCAAGAGAGGAACAGATGCACAGGACAGAGGTAAAGCATATAAGAGAGGGAAGGAAACCTTACACGATAGGGAGGAAAAGAAAGTATGCAAGAGGGAGTGAAACAGGGTGAGAGAGATGTTCAACAAAGAAGGAAATTATTTGAGAGGGGAAGTAGGCACAACAGGGGAACATATGTTAAATGAGAGAGATCAAGAGAGCATGAAAGTAATAAACATGCACAGTAGAAACAAGGAATGCTTGAGCAAACAAGAGGTAAAGCGTGTATATGAGAAAGTGAAAGAGTGTATCACAGAGGGAATGTGCATGATAGAGCAGAACACTAAGTAAGGGAAAGCACCTGAGAGAAATATGAAAAGCATGAGAGAAAGATGAAAAACATCAGAAAAAAAAGAGGGAAAGCATATCAAAGGAAGAAAGTGAAAGTGAATGGGGAGGGTGTGCACATACAGGGAAGTGAGAGGAAATGTGCACATGAGAGAGGAAAGGTGCAACAGAAAGAATGAAAAGGTGCCAGAAAGGGGAAAAGCATGGGAAAATAGATGGGTAAATGCGAGAAAGGGAATGTATGTACAGAAAAAAAAAAAAAGAAAAAAAAAAGAGATGTTCATTAGAGATGGAATACGCATGTGAGAGACCAAAAGCATGTGACAGAACAAGAAGGTGCACAGTGAGAGGGAAAGCCTGAAAGTCAGCAAGAGAGAGGGCAGGAAAGGAGAGAAAGGGTGCCCAAGAGCAGGAAAGTGCAAGCCAGAAAGAGAGGGTAGGAACAATCAATAGAGGGAAAGTGGAAGGTGCAAGATTCAGAAAGTGTGCAAGACAGGAAAAACACGTGCAGAAGAGCGAGAGACACTACAGAGAGAGAAGAAAAGCATGTATGCAAGACAAGGAAAACTTGAGAGAAAGTAAATGAATGGTAGTGTGCAGAAAAGAGAGAGGGGAAGCACACACAAGAAAGGAAAGTGTACAAGGATGAACAAGGAAAACTGCATTAGACAAAAGAAAAAGCACATGCAACAAAGTAAAAGCATGCATGAGAGGGATAGCATTCTAGAAGTCTAAAGCATTAACTAAAAGGAAAGTGATGGAATGTGTGAAAGAGGGACAGAAAGCATGAGCAAAAGAGAAGAGGGGGGGAAAGACCAAGTGAAGGTTGGGAGAAGAGAGAGGCAGTGTGCA